AGAAATGAGTGTGTAAACATAAATGTAATGTCGGTGGGAAATACGTACTCCCCCAAGCTTAGGCTTTTGGCCTAAGTTGGTCTATGGCCACGGCTGGCCTGTCGGATATCCATAATAGTAGCTGGGGTCGTACTGCGATGCAGCGGCTATCAACTGCTGAGCTGCAGCGTGGCGACGAGTGGCCTCCTCTCTCCTCTCGTACTCATCTGCCTCCTCTCTGATAATAGTATATCTTCCTCTTGCTTGATAATCAAAGAAGGCAGGAGCAAGGAGAGTAATACGGACAACACGACGTCTGTCAAAGATTAGTCGATACTGGAGAGGTGATTCGTTCCTCTCGACAAACTGGTGGTGAACCATAGCATTAAAATCTAGATAAGCAGTAGGTAATTCAATATCATCTTCGCGTATGGCTACACCAAGAAAATTAGCTATGCGGGTTGCATAAATTCCACCAAAGAAATCTCCATTAAATCTATTAAGATGCAACCTACGTGCAACAATGGCTCCCAAATTATAAGATTTATCTCCTAACACAACACTCCTAAGAATACTGAGGTCAGGGACACACATGTGACATGCCTCATCTTTACCATTAATGCATCTATCTATGAAGAGAGCAAAATAATGTATAGCAGGAAAGTGAATGCTCCCTATGGTGGCTTGTGTTATATCTCTAGATTCTCCTACAGTTATGCTAGCAAGAAAATCTCTAAATTCAGATTTGCGAGGATCCCTTATACTACCCCATTGTGGAAGTTTGCAAGCAGTGGTAAAATCCTCTAAGTTCATAGTGTAAGAATTACCGTAAAGATCAAACATGACAGTTGGAGAATTACGTGAAGTTGAAAATTCAAACCTCCTCACAAAGGTACTTCTGAGATTGTGATACTGGCTGCACTTCTCTTCCTCGAAGCTCACAAGATCAGCATTACGCAAATATGCGTTGAATTCTTCCTTAATTCCCGCTCGATCCATAAAGTTCTCAGAAGGCCATTCACAAGGACGCACTGGAGCGTCTCTTGGTGGCTCATCATCAGCATCACATATTGCAAGCCTGGGTCCTTGCTTCCTTGAAGAACCACCTTGGAACATTTTCCTAAGCATATTTCTTCCTCTGAAAAATTCTGAATTTTTTTAGTAACTTCAAAATAAAAGTAAACCAAACTCAATAATATTGATAGCAACTACTCCTACAAGTGCCTAGAGCCTATATCATGCATCAAAACTACTTTTGACCATATAAATTTGACATGCAAGCTCAAGAACAGGGACACCTAAGAAACAAAAAATTGCAATGAATAAAGCACTAGAACAAAAACTAATTGGACCAATGGAGGAGTCACATACCAAGGAGCAATCTCCCCAAGCAGTTTTGTGAGAGGTGCTTTGAGCAAGGAGATCGAAAATGGCAGCAAAACGAGCTTGGACTCGGGTTTGAGCTGGTTATTCGTGTTTGTGTGAGGAAGAAGAAGTGTATGGGTGAAAGGATAAGTGGAGGAGGGCCACCGTGGTCCCATGAGGCAGGGGGCGCGCCCTCCACCCTAGTGGGCAGGTGGTTGACCCCCCCTGCTGTGTTCTCAGTGCCAAATATTCTCAAATATTCTAGAAAAAATCATATTTAAATTTCAGGGCATTTGGAGGTGCCGCGCATCACCTTCGGCTTGACATTGAAAGTCTTGAGCCATAGGCCGAAATGGGGGTAGATGCAGAGGAAAGCCTCGCACACGACGATAAACGCCGAGATGTTGAGGACAAAGTTCGGGGCCAGATCGTGGAAATCCAGGCCATAGTAGAACATGAGCCCCTGGACAAATGGGTGGAGAGGGAAGCCCAGTCCGCGGAGGAAATGGGGGAGGAACACCACCCTCTCATGGGGCCTAGGGGTGGGGATGAGCTGCCCCTCTTTGGGAAGCCGGTGCGCAATGTCGTTAGACAAGTATCCGACCTTCCTCAGTTTTTTGATGTGTCTCTCCGTGACGGAGGAGACCATCCACTTGCCTCCCGCTCCGTACATGGCTGGAGAAGGTTGAGGTGGGGTGTGCGGACTTGGGCGCTGGAGCTCGGGTGCGCGGAAATGGATAGGCAAAGGAGGAAGAAGGCGTGGATGAAAAGGTGGATCCTTATCCCCTTATATGGGCGGACACGACTATGCGTCCCCACCAGCCTGGTAAAACTCGCTTATCTCCCAAGCGCCGTAATCAATGGCGCGGTTAGGTTACCCATGCCCGAATTGATGAGAATCCCGGAATAAGGGACACGATCTCTGCTTTGACAAGACGTGCTAAGGAAACCGCCTTGCTAAACGCGCTGAGGTGGGACAGTAAAACGATTCGAATAAAGACTTGGCCGTGGTGTGATGTCACGCTACGGAATACGTCAGCAGATTAGATTTGTGTAAATATTATTCTCTCTATGGCAATATGTGGAAACTTATTTTGCAGAGCCGGACACTACCTTTGTGTTCAAAATCTTCTATGAAGTACTTGGAGGAGGAACCCGCCTTGCAATGCCGAAGACAATCTGCGCACCGGACTCGTCGTCATTGAAGCCTGGTTCCGGGGCTACTGAGGAAGTCCTGGATTAGGGGGTGTCCGAATAGCCGGACTATACCTTCGGCCGGACTCCTGGACTATGAAGATACAAGATTGAAGACTTCGTTCCGTGTCCGGAAGGGACTTTCCTTGGCATGGAAGGCAAGCTTGGCGATACGGATATGTAGATCTCCTACCATTGTAACCGACTCTGTGTAACCCTAGCCCTCTCCGGTGTCTATATAAACCGGAGGGTTTTAGTCCGTAGGGACATACAATCATACCATAGGCTAGCTTCTAGGGTTTAGCCTCTCTGATCTCGTGGTAGATCTACTCTGTACTACCCATATCATCAATATTAATCAAGCAGGACGTAGGGTTTTACCTCCATCGAGAGGGCCCGAACCTGGGTAAAAACATCGTGTCCCTCGTCTCCTGTTACCATCCGCCTAGATGCACAGTTCGGGACCCCCTACCCGAGATCCGCCGGTTTTGACACCGACAAAGACGAAGAGGACGGTGGGACTACGGCTCTACCTAGCTACAACTCGAAACCGAGCTTAATGACAGGGGGAATTACAGTGGTGCTCACAGCGAGGGAGACGACAGCGAGCTCGCGTGGACGCGGGGAGGACTGGAGCGAGGCTAATCGCTGGCAAGGGCGGCGATGTGCGCGTAGATGACGATGTCGATGGCGAATGTACGGACGTCCCGGCTTTATTCGATGCTCGGGGTAGATGCAGCCGAGCACGACAGTTCTCCTGGAGGTCTTCCCAGGTGGTGAGGCACACGTTGGCCGCGGCAACGGTGGCGAGGCGCGCGGTCACCGTGCGAGCTTCCGAGCACCAAATCGATCCAAAGTGGAGGGGCGAAGGGGGATCGAGGGGGAACTGGGCGAGAGGGGTCTAGAGTTTTCGGTGGGCTCCTTTATAGGTAAAGAGGGGGCACGGATGGCCGCCACGCACGCCAAGGCACGGCCATGGCCGTGGATGGCTGCAACGCCTCTGTTTAGTGAACAGAGAGGTAGAAGGAGAGGGGGAGTTGAGATGGCCTAGCTCCTCTTGCTAAATGGGCCAAAGTTCACAGTGCCATATCCAATCATCTTATTCTACCACTATTTTGCATTTCTCCTCTGTTTCTATTTTAAGTTCGAACCAAATGAATTTTGTTGTAGGTGAAATTTGTCACATAAATACTAGGCATTATTTTGAGCATACCCACAAAGTAGGGAGGCAACTGGAGTTAAATAAGTAAGTGTTTATTCTGAGAAGGTCATTTTATTTGCTGCTGGACCATTTATTAATTTACTTGGAATTTATTTGTGAATCAAATGGAGTTAGTTTCAGCATGAGAACTGATCAGAGGGAATTATAGAATAATTTGAACATTTTTGTTTTGTTGTTCGAATAAATATTATTTTTATCTTATTTTAAAATTTTGAATTTGAATTCGGTTTGGATCAAAGTGAGGTTAAGAAAATTAGTTGCGATGACATGGCACCATTAGTGTGTGATTATGGTAGCTTGACTACCCGGGTGTTACAAATATATACTCCTAGCACTACTACTACTAGTAGAGTATGCATGCATGCAATCCTACACGCACAGTACGAGCAGAATAAATCCATCCAGTGAACAGAATGTAACATCGCTCATGCACCCGAATAATTATGTAAGTTATAATAAGATTTGAATAAAGATTTTTTTTGTTTAATACAACGGCCGGTGAACATAGGTGCACACTGAATC